CCCCCCGGGCTTAGGGATTATTAAATATAGTCCCTAGACCCACGGACCGCATCGCGGCCCGCGGGACGGACCCCGCGCGCTACGCGCGGGGTTTTGGAATCTAATATACTATATTCTTGATAGGTACTACCAATCAGTATTCTATAAATACGGAAAGTCAAAGGTCTTAAAAGGACTGGCCCGGCACAGCCGGACCGATTCAGAGGGGCGTAGCCCCTCCGGACTTAATTTTGATAAAACTTTCCGATAGTCTGCTAGATAAATTAGCCCTAGATGATGGTTCCCCTATTTTTAGACTATAGTATAACCCCGATCATAATCGGGGGAAGTTTAACTTACCTTTTCGCGGTAGATTCTATAAGTACCATTAACAAATGGGAAACTAAATAGTTAAAATTAATATATATATAGAAACTAATAATGTTTAGGCAGGTTCTTAACCTGCCTAACTGGTTCACGAGTTAAATAAATATCATGCTAAAGTATAAACCCCTTAATATAAACTAGGGGATTCTCTACTCTTGCAATTATTAGGATAGCAAAACAGTTTGAGAAATAAGGACTCACCAGGAGGGCCTAGGTGTGGTATAATTTAATAATTCTATGTAAATAACGAGTTAACATTGGTTATTTTTAATAAAACTATTAATAAAATAAGTATCAAATAATGATATGTAATGTATTACCAAGATGAAAAAGGGACTATCGGGGATGACTAGCCAATACATCCAAAGGAGGTAGTTTATACCAAAATTCGTAATGAATGATTTAATAATTACGAAAATCCTAAGGGAAACCAATATAATAATAACTCTACGAACTGAAACATCTAAGTAGTAGAAGGAAAAGAAATCAACCGAGATCCCGTTAGTAGTGGTGAGCGAAAGCGGGTTAGCCTATTTTCTAACGGAATGGTTTACCATTCCGTGAATTTCCATCTTTGGTGGAAATTAAAATTAAATTATAATTTGTCTGGAATGACAAACCATAGAGGGTGAAAGTCCCGTAATAAGATAAATTAGAAAAGTAGTAAGTAAGATGAGAGATAACTTGTCTGAATATAGGGGAACCATCCTCTAAGGCTAAATATGATGTATTGAGCGATAGTGAAGAGTACCGTGAGGGAAAGTTGAAAAGTAAGTAGGTAACTGGTGAAAAGATCCTGAACCGGTAGTTCTATAAGCAGCAGGAATCTGAGTTTAAATACAAGATAACTGCGTACCTTTTGCATAATGGGTCAGCGAGTTAATCTGTGGTGCAAGTAGAAATACTTAGCGAAAGCGACTACGTTAAATGGGTAAGTACCATGGATTAGACCCGAAACCAGGTGATCTTACCATGACCAGGTCATTAAGGACCGAACCAGTGCCTGTGGCAATAGGCTTGGATGAGTTGTGGTAAGGGGTGAAAGGCCAATCTAACCTGGAGATAGCTGGTATTCCGCGAAACATATTTTGGTATGTTGTCCTTCGTATCTGTAAACTGGTACAGCACTGGATACTATGTCCCTTGTGGACTTGATTGGGGGGTCGTGATGGCTCTATCAATAGAATCGGTTATTTAACCGATTCCCAAACATTTATTGTTTGGGAATCTAACCTCGGAATGGTTTACAGTTAATAAAGGACGGTCAGACTATAGGTGCTAAGGTCTTTAGTCGAGAGGGAAACAGCCCAGAACAAGAATTAAGGTCCCTAAATACTACTAAGTGAAATTAAGGTAGTCCATGAAATTACACAACCATTCGGTGGGCTTGGAAGCAGCCATCCGTTAATGAAAGCGTAATAGCTCAATGGTCTGTATTTATAAGTTTCAAGGGCACCGACAATGTATCGGGTCTAAGTAGTATACCGAGATCTTGTCCCAACATTATAAAGAATGTTGGAGGGTAGCGGAACACTCAGGACATGGTTGAAGGATAGGGTTTCCTTATCTGGACATAACTGAGGAGAGAATGCTGACATGAGTAACGTAAAAGTGGATAAAATCCCACTCGCCGAAAGCAGAAGGGTTTCATGGCTAGGCTCAACCTCCATGAGTAAAGTAACGGCCTCTAAGATTTTTAAAGCTCTATATGAGTGAACTCCGATAGGAGTAATCGATGAGAAAAACTAATTTAGATAACAGTTTTAATATTAATCTATATCAGTAATGGTGTAGTATTAGTTTAAAATTCAGGAAATGATCTAATTATTTAACCGTACCCTAAACCGACACTGGTCTGCTGGTAGAATATACCAAGGCGTTGAGCGAATCATCTTGAAGGAACTCGGCAAAATGACTCCGTAACTTCGGGAGAAGGAGTACGATTTTTATGATCGTGGCACAGAATAGAAGAGTACGACTGTTTACTTAAAACACCGGTCTTTGCTAATAGGAAACTAGATGTATAAAGACTGATACCTGCTCAGTGCTGGTAAGTCAAGAGAGGCACTAATACGGTGCTGATTGAACCTCCAGTAAACAGCGGTTGTAACTATAACGATCCTCAGGTAGCGAAATACCTTGGCCACTAATTATGGTCGCGCATGAATGGTTTAACGATACTCTTACTGTCTCCAAGATGAGCTCAGTGAAATTGAATTATCCGTGCAGATGCGGATTACCATTAGCTAGACGGGAAGACCCTATGCAGCTTTACTGTAGTTAGTCATTGTGTGCTTATAATTAAGGTGTAGAATACAAGGGAGTCGATTAGACATCAGTGAAATACCTTGACTTGATTAGGAGCACGCTATACGGAATTATTCCGGACAGTGATTAATGGGCAGTTTATCTGGGGCGGATTTCTCCCATATAGTACCGGAGAAGTACAAAGGTCGGCTTAAATTGGATGGAAACCAATGGGCTAAAGATAGCCTAATTAAGTGTAATGGCATAAGCCGGCTTAACTGTAAGACTGACAAGTCATACAGATACGCAAGTAGGTCATAGTGATCCGGTGGTCCATCATGGAATGGCCATCGCTCAACGAATAAAAGCTACGCTAGGGATAACAGGCTGATCAATCTCGAGAGTCCATATTGACAGATTGGTTTGGCACCTCGATGTCGACTCATCACATCCTGGGGGTGTAGGCGCTCCCAAGGGTTCGGCTGTTCGCCGAGTAAAGTGGTACGTGAGTTGGGTTAAGTACGTCGTGAGACAGTACGGTTCCTATCTACTAATGGAATTAGAATCGGACAAGAACATTACTCTAGTACGAGAGGACCGAGTGATATGAACCTCTGGTATACCTGTTATTGTTTACTACCTATTTTAGGTCTGTTACAGTACGGCAGGAAAGCTACGTTCAGAAAGGATAACTGCTGATAGCGTCTTAAGCGGGAAGCCCATCTTGACACGATTCTTTATTAGAGTGACTGTAGATCACAGTCTTAATAGGTTGCAGGTGTAAGCATAGTAATATGTTAAGCTGGGCAATACTAAATTCTCAAGTAACTTGGTAATAACATATCATCAAATATATCAAACGATATACTTAATTAAAGGTTTTATACTATATTGGTATATCCGAGGCTCGTTCCTTAATCCTTGAGTTCCGGGCAAAGCCCGGAAACTTAATTATTTATAGTGAATAGCAGTGTCCCTTTCATATTATTATGGAACATAATAATTGAACACTGTTATTCGATAAGAAACGGATAATAAAGACTGGCCCGCGCGTAGCGCGGGTCTATCAGAAGGGGCCCTGCGGGCCCCTCATACTTTAGATATGACGACGTATAGCATCGTTTAAGTATCGGATAAATTATTTAATTAAATAAAAGTAATAAGTTGGCTTAGCATAATTGGTAATGCACTCGATTTGTAATCGAGGTAATAGTAGTTCAATTCTACTAGCCAGCACATATTTTAATAAAAAGGCCCGCCACGGCGGCCCGAGGGTAAAGGCCCACTTCCGTGGGCCCTTGTCTGGGTTTAAAAATTAAATAAGGGATACTCAGAGGACTCAGCCATTTGGACCTTTAACCCTCTAAGTTGGATAAAGGCCCAAGTCAGATTCACCAGGTCAAAAGCTCATAACGCTGAGCATTCCTTACGGAGAACGGCCTACGGCCGCCAAAATAATATTTTTATTTAAAATATCCGCGAAGCGGATATTTTAAACTCTCGGCTTTCCCGAGTTTAATTGGGCTGTTGACTAATTGGTAAGTCACCGACTTTTGATGTCGGCTAATGGGAGTTCGAGCCTTCCCAGCCCAGTAATTTAACAAAATATTAGCCGCGCTTTAGGCGCAATTGGTAAACTCGGGGGGGGG